GCTGGAGCTATTGAGGAAGGGCGTGTTCAGCACCTTAGACAGCTCCTTCTAATTCTGAAATTAGATTGAGAGCACACGCACTGTTTCATTGTTGTGGAAACCATTGTCCACTGCTGCCAAGCGTGCAGAATGTGAGGCTGTGTTTTCTGTCTGGAACAGAGAGGCTAGCTTGCTTCTTCTCTCACTTAATTTGCCATGATGGCTTCGATTTACAGAGCTTTTCTGCTGCCTGGGCCTGCCTGCCCCCTCCCTTTGCCTAAGAGCCTTAGGAGAGCTGTTCTGTTTAATGGCTGTTGTCATTTATGTAAGATAGCAAACAAGAAAGGCGGGAGGGCTTTTCATTTGGGGATTCTGTCCCTGAAAAAAAAAAAAGAATCCTCTTTTACAAGCCTACAGAACTAGACTTTTTAATTGAGATGTTTTTATTTGATATGTTTCTTTATAACCAAAACAATTACTATAGCTTTGTGTATCTGAAATTCTTACCACACTCCTAGGGAGCCATGATAGCTTTATAGTTCATTTGGATCATATGAGCGTAAGATTATTAACACCGTTTTAAGAGCACATGGTGTTTTCTTCCGAAAAGCTTCTTTGAGCTTTCTTGGATACAAAATTGCAGGATTAATCGGTTCATCGTAACAGATGTCTATCACTTTTTTCAACAGATGAACTGGGTAAGGGGGCTTACTTTAGGGTTTTTTGGGGGGGTTTTTTTGTATCTAATGGATTTCTACACAAGTAATTTTGTTCCAAAAGGAAAATTAATTCAGTACCGCAGTGTTTGGGAAGTCTCTGCTTCGGTATCTTTATTTTTTTAAATAAAATAAAATGTGGATTTATTTTATTTCAATGTGAATATCATGCTGTATAGTAGTAAATTCAAACCTATGGAGGCTGGCAAATAGAAGTTACACTGGAATTAGAAATAAAATAAGCAGGGTAAACAACTAAACAGAAAACAGAAAGCAGTAAAGACAGTGTCTTAAAAATCTCTCAGAAAAATTAGGCAAAAGCTGTATTTTTTATTTTAAAAAAGAACAACAGGTTCAAAACCTTACAAGACATTTAGAAAACAAACCCAATAATGAGTTATTGCCAGAAAACTGGGTGTGAGGCGAGAAGCAGATCCTTGTTAGAGTTGAACATTCTGAGACTTCTTTCATTTTGGTAAAGCCAAATGTTTATTTGTGCTTCTGCGGACAAAAGCTGTATCTACATTGTGGAAGTAATGCAGTCTGCTTGGCAGAAGAATCACTTTTCTATTTTTTATAAGATACTTCATCATAAGCAAGTTGTGAGAAGTACCTTTTGTCATCTTAACACATTGCAATTCTACCTTATTGACACCTATTCCCAAAACTTTGCTGATTTCTGTTTTTAAAATGGATAAGAGTCATTTAGCATTCCAGATATAATGGGACTGCCTCTCCCAACAGTCCAGTCCAGTATAACCAATGACAAGAACCAATGGTAGGGGCTACAAGCAATTTATTCCCCCTCCCTTTATTTATTCTAGTTGGATCTAGTATTTGGGGAAGACACTTTTAATTTTAGATACTTCTGTCATAAGGAGTGCCTGGCTCATGGTGACCAGTCAAGGCATCTACTGTTGAGTTTTGTTGATTTGGAAGGGTAGATGTCCCATAGATGTGAAATAAGCAATCCTGTTCCATTTCCAGGATGTTTTTGGACAAATTCATTCATTTTCTTCCTAGGAATTAAAATAAAATTTGCTTGTTTGGAAATCTGGTATTTGGAGGGCAAACAATGTCTTGAATATCCTAAATCCATTTCAATCCCCTGTTAGAATGGGTATGTCTCTATGCAAGAGGGTTTTCTTTTTATATTTTTAAATTATTTGGGAAAGAGGGATGGGAGGTTATTGCTAAAACCATTATTATAACAGTATTGTAAATGCCATTTAGGGAATAAAGATTTTATTTTACCTTATCTGTTTGTTATGTTATGCTGGCATTGAATGTTCGCCATTTTTTTTTGTTGTAAACTGCCCTGAATCCCCTCGGAGATATGGCAGGATAAAAATAAAGTTGATTATTATTATTATTATTATTATTATTATTATTATTATTATCACCACCACCACCACCACCACCATTATTATTACATTCCAATGATATCTGTAAGACCATTTGATTTCTCCATTAATTATGGAATGTCTAAAATTCTTCTGCTGGTGTCAGGTGTGATTATATAATAAATGCTCCCTTCCAGTTCATAACAGTGAATAACACCTGCAGAGAGCCAATGTGGTGTAGTGGCTTAAGTGCCGAATTAGGACCCTAGGTCAGGATGTGAATCCCTGTTCAAACACTATGGATTGCTTCTGTTAACTGTTAACTTCTGTTAACTGTCAATAGGATACACTTCCCTCCAGAATATGGCATTGCATTTTTTCATCTACCCAGTTTTCTCCCTGTATGCTCAACAGGTAGCTTTCTGTGACACATGAGGACTTTTTTCACTGGGCTCATTTTTTGGTGTGTCCTACTTTGGATTTTCCTCCTGAAGATTTTCTATACTTATTTAGATCTTGGTATTCCTCCAAGAATGTAGATTTTTCTTATTGCATGTCAATGACTATACTACCTAAGCAGCAGGACATGTTCCTGAACATTGAACAAAACAGAACAATATACAGTGATTTTTGTAAATCGTTAGTCTCAGAGATGCTGATTTGACAGAATAAAATAGTAGATTCTTGATGTAATTGAATGCAACAGTTGGGGGGGGGGGGGATACACACACCCACACAATTGCAGTCTAAAATGAAACACTGCATTTTTTTTTCTCCAGGCTTAAAATAAAATCTTATTCCACCTCATTCTTCTGTCTCAGATTTGGCAAAACTGGTAAGAGGGACTATATGTTAATAAGATGTCCTACTCTGAACATCACACCAGATCAGCTTGACAGTGAAATGCTACCTACAATCAAAAGGGACCATCGTAATAATTAGCTAATCACTCCTTAGGAACACATATGTGGTAACGACTCCCATGTTTCTCTTATAGAATCTTCCCAAAAGTGTTCATAAAAGGTTTCTCTTCCATACAGAACAAGTATAAAAATAGCTCGGTTGTTTTACCCTCTCATTAAAAAACAAGATACAAGACTTTGTTGTTTCGAGGAGCAATGGAACAGGTCATGCATTCTGAACCTGAGAGAGAGATTTAGATGCGCAAGATTTTAAAAATAAGACTATTACATCATGTTTATTGTTATGCCTTGATGCCTTTAGGCCTGTATACTGAATTATGGGTAAATCCTAATGAAATATTTGAGTAGAATTGCCCTGTTAATCTTTTAGTAACTGGGCCCAACTGAATAAAACACCATACAGTTTCCATATCTGTCAGAGATACCTTCTAAGACCTTTGATAGTACGTGAATGCGTGGATAATTGCAAAACCTATAGTTTGACTATACTTGGACTGGAAACATAGCATAGAACCGCATTGGAAAGTCTACGGTGGCCCACAAAGACTTCTGAAGGGAGGATATTTTGGAGTGTGGATAAGTGAAACCATGGATACCATAGATTAGGAGGCTGTACTGTACAGTGAGCCCTCCACATTTTGGGGCTTAGGAATGCAGGGCCCTGTGAAAGGGAAATACCAAGAAAAACAAAATTGCTATTTTTTATCTGAGGAAACACCTCTAGGACGTTCTAGTTTTTCTAACATGGTTCTGTGATCAACTTCCACTGGAAATTTATCGTGTAATCACACTGGAGACTATGGAGATTCTTAGGTGCTATCTTTAGAAATCTCTAGGTCCTCCAGCATGACTGGAGGAAGTTGACCATAGACTCACACTGGAAGACCTTGACATTTCTTGAGAGAACATTTAAATCAAGTTTGTGAATAGTGAAATCTACAAAAGTCAAAACCACCAATGACGAGTCACAACAGTATTTGTAAAAAACACTTTTATCATAAATGATTTCCTGTGGCTTTCAAGGATAGCGCATATGAGAAGAGTTCAAAGATTATGTTAGTTAAATAATAATAATAATAATAATAACAACAACAACAACAACAACTTTACTTTTATATCCCGCCACCATATCCCTGGAGGGACTCAGACAGCTTACATGGGGACTAAGCCCAGCATCAGCAAAAATTCACAAAGTAGAACAGTAATTAAAAACATGTAACAATAAAAAAATATAATTAAAACAATAAAAAAACCTCAATAAAGTAATGACATAATAAAAAGTATAAACAACTAATAGCCGAAAAAATTGGCTTGTTCAGATTTGAGAGCGCAGGACAAGGGCTGTGCAAAATGCAGACTATAGGGCCAGGGCTGGGAGTAAAGTGCTGAGAAAAACCAAAACAATAGGTTAGGGCTGGGGAGACCTAATTGGGAGCCATCTGTCATTCAAAGACACATTGAAGAGTGCTCAAAGTTTGTGTGACTTCATAAGTGTATAAGACACAACATCCACTGCAGCACTTGTGGCTTCCAATTGAAGTGAAGGATCAAAGACACCCACTTGTTCAATTCACAGTCTACCTCTGCATTGTAGAAATGACCACCACCTATGCCATCCACTTATGTGGAATCTGATCAGGCTGTGGTTTGGCATCTATGTTTTCTTGGCGTGTTCTCATACAAGATTGATTCCTAGAAGTAAAGATACAATGAGACCTCTGCTTCCATGGGAGATATGTTCATGGCTGGACTGTGGCTATCTGAAACCATAGATATGACCACATGTCATTGAATTACCTGACTTCTGGACCCAGCATTGCATGGAGGTATTCTTTCTAGGAATTTACTAGCTCCTCCAGGATGACTGTACAGTAACTTCCTGGGGAACATACCACTGATTTGCCTATCAATACCTGATAAATTCCTAGGGAGATTATTTTTCCCTGGAAGTGGATAACCACTAGTACGTGTTCCAAAGATTTGGAGGTCTTACTGTTCTGTCTTCCTTCTAACATAATTTCTCCTTCTTTTTCTCCTAGAGGGAACAGGGTAGAAGAAGCATGTGAAATGTATACCCGAGCAGCAAATATGTTCAAGATTGCCAAAAACTGGAGTGGTACGTATGAAAATATCTCTCTTCTTTGTGGACTTCCTTGGGACTTCCTGATACCAGCAAAGTTATCGGGTGTTCTTAACTCAGTGTCATTTTCTTGAATAAGACATCTTAATTATACATGCAAGGGGGTGGTAGATAAGATATAGCTACACCTCTTGGTCTGATATCTCAAAATGTGGCTGCCTACCAGTGAATTTTAAGGTCCCTTCAATCTCTGCATACACTGGATAATGACACTGCTGTTTGTTGTCACTTTTCCCAAGGCAAAATGGAGGTCATTCAGGAGTGTTTTCCTTCATTTCCATCTTTTGGTTATTTCAATGAAAACTATAATGGTGCATTTTAATATTTTGATAACATGTTTTTTAATGTTTATGTATTGTATGTGAATCTGTGTCTAGCATTGAATGTTTGGCATGTATATGCTGTGCTCCGCCCTGAGTCCCCTTCAGGGTGAGAAGGGTGGAATATAAATGTTGTAAGTAAGTAAATAAATAAATAAATAAATAAAACGAAAAGCATAGTGATAAGGTGGAAGCCATGTCAACATTTAATTCAGTGGTTCTCAACCTTTGTGTCCCCAGATGGCCTTCAACTCCCAGAAATCCTATCAGCTGGTAAACTAGCTGGGATTTCTGGGAGTTGTAGGCCAAAACACATGGGGACCCATAGATTGAGAACTACTGATCTAGGTGGTGTTGGACTGCAACTCCCATTGTTCCTCAGCATTCTTTTTGCTATCTTAGGACAGTGGGGATTTGAAATCCAATGTCAGCTGAAGGGATTAGCAATTCCCACTTCTGATTTAGTGCTACATGAATGAGCAAGTTGTGAAAAAGATGTTGAGTCATCTTCTGATTCCTTAGTATACCATATTTCTATTTCATACACATTTCTTTTGGGGATTATGAAAGCCCTTTTTACCAATAATGTATGAGAACACTTTCAGTCCTGTAATTATTTATATTGATAGCATTTCAGAGACACTGAATAATCATTGCCAGAGTTCCTTGGGAAATATCTGTGCTCTTCTAATTTAGACCAAATGATAGGTTTTCAAATGGAACTCTGAAAGCTGCATGTGTATAATCAACCCTATGAATGTGCAGAGAATTTGTTATAATTTTGATATTTGAAATCATTATACTGGGGTTTGAGGCTTGGGATTCTTTTCTCTTCCAGCTGCAGGAAATGCGTTTTGCCAGGCTGCCAAGCTCCACATGCAACTGCAGAGCAAACATGATGCAGCAACTTGTTTTGTGGATGCAGGGAATGCCTACAAAAAGGCAGACCCACAAGGTAAGATGTATTGTACATACTGTAGCTATCTAGATTGAAGTTGCGATGTTAAGTTATTCCATGTAGGGAGGCAAACAAGGAAAACCAAGCTCTCCCAGAAAGACGGCGCTGGTTTAGAAAGATCCCTGTGGAATTTTGGAATAATTGTGGCATTAGGGTTCACGCAATGAATTCGAAGTCACAGAGTGTAGTAATAGCAATAGGATGTTGTAATGATATCTGTTTGATGTCACATTAAAGGCTTTAAAGAATACAGCAAAGTGCCAATTGAAGTGTATCTCATTTGTGTGAAAAATGAATCCTTCCAGTCCATTTCCCCCCAAAAAGAATAGTTCTTGCAAACTGCCAAGGGAAAAATGGGTCCAACAATTATCCCAAGTAAACAAAACCCATCTTTACATTTGATAAACAGTGAATGCGCCTTACCTGTTAAGCTGTTTTAAATCTTTAACCAGAATTATATGCATTTCAAGTAAAACCTTTTAAAGGATGACTCATTTTTTTGTTTTGTGGTTGTTTCAAATGTTCAGTAGAATGATGTTTAAATATAGGAATTGCTTGTTATTGAACTTGAATTTACTGTTCTATGATTAAGGGAAATGTCATAATGTGTTCTAGAGCCTAGCAACAATTCTGTAACATTTGTATGTGATACTTTAATGCATTCTAAATATGTGACCAGATCTAATGAGATAATGGATTATGACCTGTTAGAGCAGTGGTTCTCAATCTGTGGGTCCCCAGGTGTTTTGGCCTATAACTCCCAGAAATCCCAGCCAGTTTACCAGCTGTTAGGATTTCTGGGAGTTGAAGGCCAAAACATCTGGGGACCCACAGGTTGAGAACCACTGCACTAAGGTGACCATAGCAGTCTCAACTCTGTGTTCTCCTCTGAAACCAGTTTGAAATTTATTTATTTACTAGCTTGGGGACCCGGCGCTGCCCGGGTTATTAGAGAAAGTGGGTAATGGTGGTTCTCTATGCCAAGTTTGGTCTTTATTGGTCATTGGATGATGGTTGCATTGTTTTCAGGAAGTGAGTGAAGGTACTTGAAGTGCCATCATCCATGGTCCACCCTTCTCCAAACAGCAGCAGGATACAGAGTGGGTCATGGGGGCTCTGTGTGCCAAGTTTGGTCTTTATCAGCCATTGGATGAGGGTGGTAGTGGTTTCAGTAAGTGAGTGAAGGTAATGCAAGTCCCATCATCCAAAGTCCATCCTCCTTCAAACTGCAGCAGGATGTAGAGTGGGTCATGGGGGCTCTGTGTGCTAAGTTTGGTCTAGATTGGTCTATGGATGAGGGTTGCAGCAATCTTGGGAAGGAAATGGAGGTACTTGAAGTCCCATCATCCATGGTCTGTCCTCCTCCAAACTGCACCAAGATGTAGAGTGGATCATGGAGACTCTGTGTGCCAAGTTTGGTCTTGAACAGTGATTGGCGAGGGTCTCTGTGGTCCCAGGAAGTGAGTGCAGTGACTGCAAGTCCCATCATGCATTGACAAATTATTCCAAACCGCACCAGGATGTAGAATGGGTCATGCAGGCTTTCTGTGTAAATTGTGGCCCTGACCCATCATTGTTGGCAGTTGTAATGGTCGTAGGAAGGGAGTGCAGGTATTGCAAGCCCCATCGTCCATGGTGAATCCTCCCCCAAACTGCACCAGGATGTAGAGTGCATCATGGAGACTCAGTGTGCCAAGTTTGGTCTTTATCGCTAATTGGATGAGGGTTGCAGTGGTCTCAAGAATTGAGCAAAGGTACTGCAAGTCCCATAATCCATGGTCCATCCCCAGCCAAACCACACCAGGACGTAAAGTGGGTCATGAGAGGTCTATGTGCCAAGTTTGGTCCTGATCAGTCATTGGATGAGGTTAACAGCGGTCTCAGAATGTGAGTGATGGTACTGCAAGTCCCATCATCCATGGTTCATCCTCCTCCAAACTGCAGTAGGATGTCGAGTGGGTCTTGTGTGCTCTGTTTGCAAAGTGTGGTCTGTATTGGTAATTTTCTGACAGAGCCCCTGGCCTTTCCTTTCCTCTCTTTGTCATCTCGGAATCTTGGAATTGAGGCTGGCCAATCAGAGACCATATGCAAATTTCCTTCTGTCATGTCCCTGTTTCTGTCATGAACCCTTTTCTCCACCAGGGGCTCCTGTTCAAGCAGGCCAATCAGGGAGCATATGCAAATAGCACCACAGCAGCAGCCAGTCAGAATCTTGGAACTTTCAGGCTGGCCAATCAGAAAGCCGGCACATACACCGCCACACATCCGCCGCATACAAGTTTTGACTTTTATTATATACTAGCTTGGGGACCCGGCGTTGCCCGGGTTATTAGAGAAAGTGGGTAATGGCGGTTCTCTATGCCAAGTTTGGTCTTTATTGGTCTTTGGATAACGGCTGCATTATTTTCAGGAAGTGAGTGAAGGTACTTGAAGTCCCATCATCCATGGGCCATCCTCCTACAAACAGCAGCAGGATATAGAGTGGGTCATGGGGGCTCTGTGTGCCAAGTTTGGTCTTTATCAGTCCTTAGATGAGGGTGGCAGTGGTGTCAGTAAGTGAGTGAAGGTACTGCAAGTCCCATCATCCAAAGTCCATCCCCTTTCAAACTGCAGCAGGATGTAGAGTGGTCATGGGGGCTCTGTGTGCCAAGTTTGTTCTTGATTGGTCATTAGATGAGGGTTGCAGCAATCTTGGGAAGGGAGTGGAGGTACTTGAAGTCCCATCATCCATGGTCTGTCCTCCTCCAAACTGCACCAGGATGTAGAGTGGGTCATTGGGGCTCCATGTGCCAAGTTTAGTCTTGATTAGTCATTGGCAAGGGTCTCAGTGGTCTCAGGAAGTGAGCAAAGGTACTGCAAGTCCCATCATCCATCTCCAAATTTTTCCAAACAACACCAGGACATAAAGTAGGTTATGAGAGGTCTATGTGCCAAGTTTGGTCTTGATCCGTCATTGGATGAGGTTTGCAGAGGTCTCAGAATGTGAGTGAAGGTACTGGAAGTTCCATCATCCATGGTCAACCCTCCTCAAAAACTGCAGCAGGATGTAGAGTGGGTCATGGGGGCTCTGTGTGCCAACTTTGGTCTTGATCGGTCATTAGATGAGTTTTGCAGCAGTCTTGGGGAGTGGAGGTACTTGAAGTCCCATCATCCATGGTCTGTCCTCCTCCAAACTGCACCAGGATGGAGAGTGGGTCATTGGAGCTCCATGTGCAAGTTTATTCTTGATTAGTCATTGGCGAGGGTCTCTGTGGTCTCAGGAAGTGAGTGAAATGACTGCAAGTCCCATCATCCATTGTCAAATTCTTCCAAACCGCACCAGGATGTAGAGTGGGTCATGCTGGGTCTCTGTGTAAATTGTGGTCCTGATCCATCATTGTTGGCAGTTGTAATGGTCTTAGGAAGGGAGTGCAGGTATTGCAAGTCCCATCGTCCATGGTGCATCCTCCTTCAAACTGCACCTGGATGTAGAGTGCGTCATGGAGACTCAGTGTGCCAAGTTTGGTATTTATTGGTAATTGGATGAGGGTTGCAGTGGTCTGAAGAATTGAGCAATGGTACTGCAAGTCCCATAATCCACGGTCCATCCCCGGCCAAACCACACCAGGACGTAAAGTGGGTCATGAGAGGTCTATGTGCGAAGTTTGGTCCTGATCAGTCATTGGATAAGGTTAACAGCGGTCTCAGAATGTGAGTGGTGGTACTGCAAGTCCCATCATCCATGGTTCATACTCCTCCAAACTGCAGTAGGATGTAGAGTGGGTGATGGGGGCTCTGTGTGCCAATTTCGGTCTGTATTGATAATGTTCTGACCCAGCCCCTTTTTGGCCTTTTCCTTTTCTCTCTTTGTCATCTCGGAATCTTGCATTTGAGGCTGGCCAATCAGAGGCCATATGCAAATTTCCTTCTGTCATGTCCCCGTTTCTGTCATGAACCCTCTTCTCCACCAGGGGCTCCTGTTGAAGCTGCCCAATCAGAGACCATATGCAAATAGCACCACAGTGGCAGCCAATCAGAAAGCTGCCACATACACTTCCGCCCTCCACACTTCCTCTGTCCTTCCCATACAAACAAACACTCTTCTTTATTATATATATATATATAGATATATAGATATAGATTTTGTTTACTATATTTATATCCCACCTTTTTCTACCCCAGAGAGGACTCAAGGCAGCTTACAGATAGGCAATAATTCAGTGCCTTCACAACAATATACAGTTAAAATACATTAAAATTAAAATCAAAATTATGGGTCAAGAAAGTGTGTCCATGGCATCTGACCTTATGGACTTTGAGTCTAGATAAGGCAGTAATACTTTATGCAAAAGCTAGAATATGAGCAGGCAGAAAGTAGTTCAGGATCTTATTGTTCTTGCTGTGTGCTTTCAAGTAGCTTCCAAGTTATGGCGACTCTAAGGTGAATGCTTCACAGTGGGGGGTTTTTCGGCATTTTTTTTCAGGGAGGAAGTGGTTGCCTTTGACATTTGAGACTGATATGCAATAGAAGCACAAGTATCTCTGACTCCCAACTTTTTATTTTATTTTATTTTACTGTTGAAGTAAAATAAAACCCAAGAGAAGATTTTTTAGTGGAAGGACTATGATTTCATCCAATTCTACTTCTAAAAATAAATTTCCATTCTCAGGATTCTTGAATCTTATTCATATGTCTTTTCTGTTAGGATTGGTGGGGTGTCTGTATAAGGATAATAATAGATCCTATAAATGTTGTCTGCCTATCCTTGTGTTTGAAAATAAAGAAATGTGTCCTTGATATTGAACAGAAGAATGACTGGCTGTTGAATCTGGTGATATGAATAACCCACCTTCTTGTGCTAGTAGGGTAACAGTGTTTGATGACTGAGCTGATTTTATTCATTATTTCCTTCCCAAATGCATACGTTACAGAGGCTATCAACTGCTTAAATACATCCATCGATATTTACACAGACATGGTAAGATTCCTTAGGTGATTGGTTGGGAATCCACTTTGTGACCTTGCAAATCTTTTTGATTAAATCTTTGGTTCAGATGTCTTTGTACTTGGTGCTTGCACTTAGTGGAAATGAGAACAGCTAGATAAAGTTCTTCTCTTTCCAGGGCCGATTTACTATTGCTGCCAAGCATCACATTACCATTGCAGAGATCTATGAGTCTGAGTTGGTTGACATTGAAAAGGTAAGGACATTTAACTGTTCAAGGCCTCCGTTTATTTGTTATGAAAAGTACAGTTTTAATATCACACATCCAAAATGTTTCATACCAGAAGTGTTCCATAGTTTAGTTTTTTTTTTTCAAATTTGAAAAATGAGATATCTTGGAGATGGGACCCAAATCTAAATACATCCTTCCTTTATGTTTCATATAATTTTATACGCAATATCTTTAAATATTTTTGTATGTAAAAGAATGTTTGTGTACATTGAACTATCTGAAATCAAAGGTGTCCTTATCTCAGCCACCTATGTAGTCTATTTTGGATTTCCAGGTAAGGAATGTTTAAATGGCCATGGACTGTGTGATTTTAAATAATTGGTTTTAAGGTTTTATTATTTTTTAGTGATTGTTTTAATGCTTATGTTTTTATTGTGTATTTTTGGACTCTAATTGTTACCTGTATATGTAATTATTATTTGTATTTGCTTTATTTCTATACCGCATTTTTCAGCCTGATAAGGCGACTCAATGCGGTTTACACAATGAAAATTATCACAAATAACATGTAAGCCGCCTTGAGTCCTCTAGGGCTTGGGAAGAGCGGGGTATAAATACAGTAAATAAATAAATAAACCTGTATCTGATTGCTAGACACATTCCTGCTCACACATATTTCCTTCTAGCTGGTTTTAAGAGGTAAAGCATGGCTATGTTAACTGAAGAAATGAGTAATTTGTAAACTTTGTGATCTACACAGCCTGTGTCCCAAAATATTCAGTCTGTAAAAGAAAAGAAAAATTGTATTGAATTCTTGTATTTTTAGGCTATTGCTCATTATGAACAAGCTGCAGATTATTACAAAGGAGAAGAATCCAACAGGCAAGTTTTCATTCAAAGACTAATCTTTAATAATAACAATAACAATAATAATAGTATAATTCATTTTGTTTTGGTTTTTATTTTAACATTATTAAATTTAATTATTTTTCTAGGCTCCTATAGAACATTAATATTGTTAAAAAGCTTTTAAAGATTAGCATCTCAATTACCTATCTATCAGTTTCAATATCAGATTACAAAATTTAGGAAGTATTTCTCTGTGAATGCATACAGTTGGTAAATGGAAACTATAATGGGATAAGGATGATGACCTGTCAGGATCACAACCCATTGGAGATTATGGATTTTGACCTATGGATCATAACCTATTGGGTAGCAGGGATTGCTGGGCACGTACATATCTTGTTTCTCTTCAGTGCTCTCAGCAGACAAAGATTCAATTAGGCTTCTTTTAAAATAACATGTTTGTTAATCATAATTTCAAGTGTTTAAATATACAGGCACATTTCTTGTCAAGTTATACTTTAAAACGTTTTGGTTTGTATTTTTAACTTATAGTCTTTAACAATCTCTTCAAAACCTATATTGTTCTGTACAATTCTCATTCATAAATGTCTACTTTCAAAGAATTCAAGCATCAACAGTTTTCTAATTGAAAGAATTCAAGCATCAACAGTTTTCTAACTTCCTACAATGACATCTGACTGAAAAACAGACTTCTGTACTCAAGCTGACTTAAGGCTTAACTGTCTTCCTAACGTCTAACACTGGCTTCTGTATTCTAACTGACTTAAGCCTCAACTGTCATTCCTCAACTGTCATCATGTTTAAAAAGCATTCTAAACAGTCACGTGATCTGCAGCCCCTCCCACTGCCTCAAATACATAGAGCTTACTTAAAAAATACCCCTCGTAGAATAGAATAGAATAGCTTTATTGTCATTCTAAGAAAATTAAATGCTCTCCCCCGTGCATATCAAAAAACAACACACCCATCCCTCCACATTCCAACCACCACCACACAGCCCCCAATGCCACATCAACAAGAAATTGTGGAGTTCAGTATAGTTACAGCTCTAGGATAAAAGGAAAATTGATTTTCCTATGCCTGTGGATAAGTCAAGGGTAAAATTTAGAGACATGTCACAAATAAATATTTTCCTCTTCTTTTAAAAATTCATAAATGGAACTTACTGTATATACTTGAGTATAAGCAGAGTTTTTTAGTTCTTTTTTAGGCTGAAAAAGCCCTCCTCAGCTTATACTCGAGTCAAAGTTATTTATTATTTTACTCTATTATTATTATTATTATTATTATTATTATTATTATTATTATTACATTTATTATTTTACTCTATTTATTGTCATTATTGCATTTATTTTACTCTATTATTATTATTACATTTATTATTTTTGTTGTTGTTCATTCGTTCAGTCGTCTCCGACTCTTTGTGACCTCATGGACCAGCCCACGCCAGAGCTCCCTGTCGGCCGTCACCACCCCCAGCTCCTTCAAGGTCAGTCCAGTCACTTCAAGGATGCCATCCATCCATCTTGCCCTTGGTCGGCCCCTCTTCCTTTTGCCTTCCACTTTCCCCAGCATAATTGTCTTCTCTAGGCTTTGCTGTCTCCTCATGATGTGGCCAAAGTACTTCAACTTTGCCTCTACTATCCTTCCCTCCAATGAGCAGTCAGGCTTTATTTCCTGGAGGATGGACTGGTTGGATCTTCTTGTGGTCCAAGGCACTCTCAGCACTTTCCTCCAGCACCACAGTTCAAAAGCATCTATCTTCCTTCGCTCAGCCTTCCCTAAGGTCCAGCTCTCACATCCGTAGGTTACTACAGGGAATACCATGGCTTTGACTAGGCGGATCTTTGTTGTAATAAAATTTATTACTTTACTCTATTATTATTGTTATTTGGGGCACTTAAGTTGGAGCAGAAAGTTCACAACCAATTTTAATTGGAGTTTGCCGAGTAAGCGCTGTGCTCCCCACCATTTTGAGCACTTGGGGTGTAATGGATATTTTTTATTAAAGAAGAGCCTTATTTAGTCTTTCTGGGAGTCTCGCAATGCTTGCAGAGAGACTGCTAAGTCTTTCGAGGCTTATGCAGGAAGCTCCTATTGAAAATGGCTGTGACACTGGACTCCAAATGTCAGGAAGCACAGATTGTTTCCAGTATTATTGGAGTGTAAATATGCTGACCGAGGTTGGGGGGTGGACGGGACATTTTTTTGGCAAACCTTTTCCCACTTACACATGAGAGTGTGCCATCATTTCTCAAGTAGTTTAGGTCTGCTTATGTAGTGTCATACATTGATATATATTTTTTCTTTTTAGAAAAAAATGTCTTTGTTTACCAGTCAATTAATTATAGCTTTTGTTTCTAGTTCTGCCAACAAATGTCTTCTGAAAGTAGCTGGATACGCTGCTCAGTTAGAGCAATATCCAAAGGCAATCGAAATGTTTGAACAGGTAGGTGTACTGCATTTCAGAGGAAGAAGGCTATAACTGTACTAAATCCAAGTGCTGTTTGACTGTTCCTTATGTAGCCAACATGGTACTATGCATGCATAGGAAACAGCAGATTTGCACAAAATTCACTAGATCGCTCCCTGGTCCCCTTCAAACAAGGACTTGCATGTGCTTTATATAATTAGTGTTAGATAACGATCGTAATAAATCATTGAAGTTAAATCACTGAAGAAAATTCATTCATTAATGTATAAACGCCGAAAGTATACTGCTAATATGTTGTATTAATAGTTACTAACTTGTTATGAAAGCATTAGTTATGAATTTTAAGACCAATGAAAAGGTCTGAAAATAGCCCAGTTATCCTGAAACCCTCAAAATTGCATCCCCCGGGAACCAATTAAAATAATGGGAAATCTTCAGTGTTACTTCAGAAGAATCCTTTTAATGATAAAATCAATTAATATTAAAGTTTTGTTGAAATTAATTAAATGCATTAGGGTTTGTGATTTAAGTTCCAACCTCCAAACTTGAGGAACTCATAGGGACCCCCTTCCAAATAATCATGTTCATTGGCTGTTGTAGAGGTGGGGGGAGAGATATAATGACGTGCCCAAGAAGCAGGTTTGGCTGATTGGTTGGGACGCTGAATGGGACAAGGCCCCTGTCTTAGCATATTTTCTGCAACTGTATTAGATTAACTTCTTTCCATGTTAAATGGAATTGAGTGGTAGAAACACACACACAAAACCCCCACAACAGTGTGAAATTTACTAGCCTATATCAAACTGTGGCCCTCCTGGTGCTGCAACAGGTTAAACCGCTGAGCTGCTGAACTTGCTGACTGAAAGGTCGGTGGATCAAATCCAGGGAGCAGGTTGAGCTCCCACTGTTAGGCCCAGTTTCTGTCAACCTAGCCATTCAAAAACATGCAAATGTGAATAGATCAATAAGTACGGCTTCAGTGGAAAGGTAATGGAGCTCCATGCAGTCATGCCGGCAACATGACCTTGGAAATGTCTATGGACAACACTGGCTTTTCGGCTAGACTTAATGTCAGTGGAAACCTTTACCTTTACCTTATATCAAACTGGACCTGCATTTTTTAATCTTTTCAGATTGGAACAAGTACTATGGATAACCCGTTGCTCAAACACAGTGCAAAGGATTACTTCTTTAAAGCTGCCTTGTGCCACTTTATAGTTGATGAGTTGAATGCGAAGGTTAGTGCAATCCATCATGTATCTTAGTTCTGTAGGTTATAACAGTCAAGATGTATGGTATATGAAAGAAAAACAAAGCAATTTGATTCACGTTAAATCAATAATATCATCTGTTGTTGCTGCAGAAAATGATTTGTAAGGAAGAACTTGTAAACCTGAATTGCCTTAATACACTAACCTGTGTTTTTGTGGAAAAGAGAGCAAGAGTTTGTGCATCTAGCTGCTTCCTTGTGTTTTGGCCTTAAAATTTCACTAATAATGATGTGTGTCTAAAGTCACTCCTGTGAAATGTTAATATAAAATGATAGGCCTAAATGCCACTTGAATAGATGGAATTCACATGAATGCTTGTTATTCAGCAATTGATTCTTTGGGTTGCTGTGAGTTTTCTGGCCATGTTCCAGAAACATTCTCTCCTGACGTTTCACCCACATCTGTGGCAGGCATCCTCAGAGATTGAGAGGTCTGTTGGAAAATAGGCAAGTGGGGTTTATATATCTTGTCAGCATGGGAGAAAGAACTCTTGTCTGCTTGAGGCAAATGTGAATGTTGCAATTGGTCACCGTGATTAGTATTTAATGTCCTTGCAGCTTCAAAGTCTGGCTACTTCCTGCCTGGGGGAATCCTTTGTTGGGAGGATTATAAACCTCACTTGCCTAGTTTCCAACAGACCCCTCAAACTCTGAGGATGCCTGCCATAGATGTGGGTGAAACGTCAGGATAGAATGCTTCTGGAACATGGCCATACAGCCCGGAAAACTTACAGCAACCCAATGATTCCAGCCATGAAGGCCTTCGAAAACAAATTGATTCAGTGTTTCCAGTGTGGTTGAGACTAACAATTGAATGAAGGTCATTGTTTTGGCTTCGGTGTAAATCATCTATAATTTGTAACTGAAATGTTCTGTTTGTGAATTAGTTTCTCTTACTGCCATTACACTGAACAATGTTTTGTTTCTCATGATGTATTATGTAATTTTAATATTCCGTATCAAAGAGCTGATTAAACAGTGTGATAGATTTTTTTCTTTGGTTATAACAGAAAATGAGGCTATTATAATGATCAGGAAAAAGAGGTGTACGGGGAAGGAGGACCTTGGGAAATTTACCTTTTGGGACTATATCTCCCAGAATTGCCCATGCCACAGCCAGTGGGGGTATTCTGGTAGTTGTAGTCCGAAAAGTGACTTTCCCAAACTCTCATATTTCCAGCTGCCAAAGGACAAGTCAAGGTTTGCCTCTTTGTTATTTTTTTTTCTTGTCATGCATTGCGATAATAGCTAAAGTTTTCTGGTGGGACATTCATGGTGAGATAAAAATCTGCTTGACTGGATAAAGTAGTGGATTTAACAATTGCTGATCTCGTTTCAGCTTGCTCTTGAAAAATATGAAGAAATGTTTCCAGCTTTCACAGATTCAAGAGAATGTAAACTGTTGAAAGTAAGGGAAAGTGCATGTTTGTAAAATGTTAAAAATAGAAATCATGTGTGATTGGTGGACTTTTCTGGAAGCTGTTCAAAGGCAATGCTAATCAAAGTGGTGGTTTGTGAACTGGCACGAGTCTGTAAGCCTTGTCGGTCTAGAGTTTGAGGCTGGATCTACACTGCTATAGGTAATCCAGATTGTAAAAGCAGATAATCCATATTATATGCTTTGAACTGGATTTTATGAGTCTACACTGCCATATAATCCAGTTCAAAGCAGATGATTTGGAGTTTATATGGCAGTGTAGATCCAGTCTGAGTTTATAAGATAGTACTTGTAGCAAATAGGCATCAATAGCAAATGGGCCATGGCACATAGCAGGGGGAATGTTTTACTAGCATGTAATAAAGATCAGTTGCTCTGGTGTGAAAAAGGGTAAATCAAGCCTGGATTCTAGATAATATGTGTGTTTTATGGCCCTGTGCACATTTAGTTGGGCTTTACAGTACCTTCGTTTCATCCGAACCATAAACATGCAGTAGTGCTTGCATAATCTCCTGTGTATTTTGGAGAATTCCTTTCACAGTAAGTGTGTCTCCACAGCAACTCTAGCCAATTCAGAAAGGGACTTCATGATATCTTAAGAAGCTCAGCAACACCAATTCCTGTGATCCCTTCCCTCCGGGGTCCCAACCCCCAGGTTGAGAAACGCTGAGCTATAGGGTTCATAATCATGCATTCCTCTCTCTGTGTACCATTACAGTGAGTGGTCTGTGCCTCCACTTCCCCTTCCTCTCCCATTGACATGGAAGCAAGTCCTGCTATGGGCTAAAACAGTATGTTTAATTTAATTAACTCTAGCTCTCCCCCTCCCCTTGCAAACCTTCAGCTGCCATTATGAGGTCACATCCTGTAGTGATGTCTATGTGTGATTGTCATAGGTACAGCATGCAGTATAGATATTCTAGAGCTAAATTCCTGTGAAAGATTAGAATTAAGTGCCTTGTATATAAGTAGAAATTGCTTTCTGAAGAATTCATTTATTCTCAGCTGTTGAGTCATTTTTAAAATGTCTCCTCAAGTAACAAGAACATTTCTCTGTCTTACAAAACTTATTTAACAAGCTAATCTTCCTTGAGAGAGGTAATAAAATTGCCTGTCCTGTTGTGTAATCTTTTCATGTCATTGCGCTAGAAATTACTGGAAGCCCACGAGGAACAAAATTGTGAAGCATACACGGAAGCAGTAAGTCAAACTCAATGTTTAATTTTTACTCTCCTTTTCTCTAGATTGTTTTAGAAAAGGTTGCAGTATATAAAAGGAAATAATAATGATCTTATTATTTACTTATATTTTGGGCAAGTTGAATAAGTCTAAGGTTGGTTTATTGACAGGTTATTTCCAGGGGAAAGTTTTCAGTGACTTTGCAGCTCAATAACCTGCAAAGCAACAATGCCATGCGATAAGGCCGATACAGAAGTGGGACTAATGCATTGCTATGCATCACAGTGTGATGCAGGATGTGATGCTGCTCTCCATCTAATGCCACTGTAACCAGGGCGGTTGCCAGAAAAAAATTTCAGGGGTGGGTGGGTTTGAAACTTTTTTTAGCAAATCATGAAGAGTAGTTCGATAACACAACAACAACATTTTTAATACAGTCCAAAGACCCTTATTGCTCCGTAAAAGGTATAAGATACAAGGTATGCAAGGTTAGTAAGGCCAAAAATAGCCAAACAATAGTTGTTGTTTTTTAACCTGAAAAATTGGGGGGGGGGGGTTGAACCCCTAACCCCCCCTCCCCCTGGCTATAGGCATGACTGTAACTCAGTTGTATATTATGAGAGATATTCTCCTGCCCATCTATGAATATTTGGAGAGATTCTAAAACGCAGCAAGAGTAGGAATTATAAAGGAGTTATAGAAAAGTTATTGTTATCCCCCCCCCCCTTTGATATTGGTTCTTTGTGAAGCACATTTGATCGCAGGGTGTGAGTTTTGTCTTCTTAACTAGTTTTGTGAATCCTTCCAACCAGGTTAAAGAGTTTGATTCAATTTCCCGCTTGGACCAGTGGCTGACAACCATGTTGCTTCGCATAAAGAAATCTATTCCAGGAGAAAATGAGGGAGACTTGAAATGAACTCTCCGTACAATTTGTGGCATTTTGTGATTGTCTATTGAAGTACACTGTGTTGTGGCCAAGGACCATTCAGGGATACTTGATAAATGCTTCTAGCTTAAATGACTGGTGTCTTGTTTAGTATCCTGTTGTGGCTCATTCAGTGTAACGTTGCACATGAGTTTATCTATTTAAGACTTCTTGTTTCGATTCTAAATGCAAAGTGTGGCCTGATCCTATGCATTTTTACTTATATGTAAATCTCATATAAGGGGAAACTCTTCCTCGTGTAACTGCGTGTTTATTTGGAAGCAAGTCCCACTCTGATCAAGTGAACTTACTTCCTCGTAATTGCACTCCCAGCTGCAGACTTAATAATAATGTAAATCAAATCAACTTTTGTGGAATGCCAGCCACCCTGAAATTATTTGCTCGTAATCCAGATTTTCAACTTGGGTGTGGCAGTCGTGAAGAAGGGTTGGCGATCTGAAATATATTCAAGTTCTTTGAAGATTTATCACAGCAGTATACACAATGTTCTTTGTGCATTTTTGGGTCTGGAAGGTGAAGGAAGTCAAGTAATTTTGTCCTGCTTGAACAAGCTTGACGGCACCTTGTCCTGACGGAAGGTCCATTGGGCATTAAGGTTACAGGAGTCCCATCCTGGCCACTCTAATATCCAGCAGAAGATCCAAATTGATATCGGTGTACTTCTGTTTTAAAATATCAGAATAGTGTCTTGGAAGTATGGTTTTGATTTCCTCTTATACAACAATGCTGAATTTAAAACTGAACTGAGAGGGCAACTAACAGACAAAGCTTCCTTTACTGAAAAAGTGGCTAAAGTGTGCCCATCCCCCTGCTGCTGTTTCACTGCGATGCCCTTCCTAGTGCAACAACATCTGGATGGCCACATTTTGCCCATCCCTCCTTTACAGTCCAATCCCATGCATATTTTCTCAGAGGTTAATCCCACTGGCTTCAGTGAGGCAATGGAAGTCAGCCCTGTTTACACACTGAGGAAGCATGCATGGGATTGCTCTGGAAAGGGCGTTTTGTGTGGAAGTTGAGGATTGCAGCCTTAAATGGAGCCTCATTTGATTCCAAAATCAATATACTTTTTTGATGAATGCACATTTTCTATTGCTTTTTCCAAAAGTTGCACACGTTAACAGGGTATTGTGTCTTTATTCCGATGACATGAATGAATCAAAAAGCTTTGCTCTAAATGTTAGTTGTGTAATTTGAGGCTACTGTTATCAATAGAATTTCTGATGTATTTTCTCTAGCTCCAAACTAGAAAGCCCTGTGCAATATCGTCCGTTTGTCATTTGGAAAAGCGTGACCATGCATGTGAATAAAGCAGGACCAGCTCTTTCTTTGCTGGAAGCTCACTGCAATTTCACTCAATGTGTTAATGAATATGTAGAGTTCAGAGATATAAACAGTGTCAGTTGCTTCAAAAGTAAAAAAAAAATGGATTTTTAATGACAAACTGATTTTTTTCCTCATTCTGTGCTGTCATTTCTTCTTTCCTAAATGAGGATTTTCTAAAATTTAGTCTAAAAATTATAGCAGGTATTGTTTATAACATGTGAAAGAGTTGGTAATTTGGTTCAAGTATATTTTATAGTGCACTTCCATTGCTGTTTGAATCTTGCTAGTTTAATGTATACATTGCATAAGTATATGTGAATGCATAATATGCAGGGCAAAATTACACAACAACCTAGGTCTAAAATCACTATTGAGCTTTTGCAGCAGAGAAGGCACATTGCTTTTCCAAAATGTGCATTTAGACCTGGCCTACTTGGGCAGCCAAATGAAATAGAAATTGAGTCCCTTCTGTCCACCCCATTCTGTTGCATATGTAGACTAGGAACCAGACTTTACTCTTACATGTGTTGCGAAGTGAGTAAATTGGTGTATATCTGTGTGTGTGTGTGCCCATGTCAGCCATGCTATATGCTGCTGGCATATTTTAACAGGGCAAATAGTGCAATATAAACCCAATCATTGCCCCTCTGACCAGTGGTTTTCTGCTCTTTCAGATATCCTGCACCCAATCCCATACATACTGTTTTGACTGAGGTTTTTTCTAGCTGTAGATTTAAAGTTGCATTGTCCCCTTACAGCAGGCATGGGCAGACTTCAGTCCTCCAGATGTTTTGGACTTTAACTCCCAGAAATCCCAGCCAGCTTACTGGCTGTTCGGAATTGTGGGAGTTGAAGTCCAAAACACCTGGAGGGCCAAAGTTTGCCCATGCCTGCCTTAGAGCAAAGGGTGGGAAGGTGCAGCCTTCAAGATGTTGTTGGACTGCAAGTTCCAGCATTTCATATGATTTGCTGTCTAGGGCAGATCAGAGGTCCACACATTCATCATCTCAAGAGACAAGGAGATAGAGACTAGAGATGGTATAGTGTAGTACCCCCCCCTCTCCCAAGACAGCAGTGATGTGTATAAAGTAAGGGTAGGCAGAGATGATCTGCAGAAGCTTTGGACTGCAACTCACACAATCATTGACTTTGCAGGGTAGGATTGATGGGATGGGTAGGTCAGAAACATCTGAAAGAAGCCCACAGTCATCCATAACTTCCTTAGCATGGAACAGCAGCACACAGTGGAGTAAGGGGAGAAGAATATGGAGGATGGGCAAGTACTTTTTCTAAGGATGTGTGAATTCATGAATATATATTTATATGGATATGCCAAGGTACTGAAAGCCCATTTGATGCACTAGGTGGGGCGGGGAGCTATAAATATATTACAGTAGATATATATAGATTTCTATTTTTATTTCAAACAGACATATTTATTCTGTGAGTTGTGGGACACTCATGTACTTGTAGTCCCGAAAATTACTTGTGACGTGTTTGAGCTCCTTCAGCTTCTTGAATCCATGCCCATAACATCAAATTTCATCCTTGTTGCAGCTCAGTCAGGACTTTCCCTGCATTAGAGCATCACTAAACACTAGTTGCTTTGGCCTACTGGTACTTCTTCTGTTACATGACTCAGATTTTTTTGAGAGCAACGTGTTCATAGAATACTGCTTTCTAGAGTGGATCCTATTCATTTCAAAAATAACTTCTATGCTCCTCATCCCTCCCCCAAGTAGTTTCCCGTGGTGTCCGTGCCACAATTGTCATTCAAGGGGTTGGTAAACTTTGTCATGGCATTTGGTTTGTTTTAAGAGGGGGAAAGAGTATCGGCCCCTCAGTTTCTCCAACCAGTCATGATCCTTAGCTAATCGGGATGCACGACAGATTAACTGCTATACATACATGCCTCCTTCAAAGGGTTTAAGATTCTTGCCCATTATTCTAGCGCATAGATTTCAGCTGCAGCTTCAGGGACCTGGCTTTAATAACTTTTCAAACAAAATTCCAATACGTTGCTGAAATATTTCATAGAACATCAATGGTGTTGAGGCAGTATTTTCAATATATTTGTATATGCAAATATAGATGGATCTATAATTATAGTATATTAATATGTGCTGGTGTTGTAGCTTAAACACTTGTGAAATTTTAGCAGATGTGTACTAGTCGATTCATTCAGTCCTAAAATCATAAAGGCCACCTAAGACTGTTTATTTTGTAACACAATTCATGGGTGTGACCAATCTTGATGAATTCTCCTGCATTTCTACATATCATAATAGTACCAAATGTATTTAATAGAATACCACAGCCAGTGTGGGTATGGATTTGGTCCTTAGTTAAAATTCGAGGCTGTGGCTCAATGTGGGAAGGCTTGTAGATTTCTGCCTTTACTGTTTTATCATGCCAATTGTCATTAAAAGAGTATACTCCCATGTCTGAACTATGAGTTTCTTTTTAACAATCCTAAGAACAAGCAATACAAAATGGGTGGTTTCAGATAGGATTCTGCTCCATGTTGTAAAAATGTGTGATTTGGGGATGTCAAACTTGCTCACCTTGCTGCTTTGGGTTGCAGTAAATATGTGGTCTGGAATCTAAGCCATAAAGTAGGCATGCTTGCAGCAAGAAGTAATCACTGGATAATTTTGTTAAGTGCTGTAACAATGAATGCAGATGTGTAAGATTCCAATCACTAGTGAATATACTGCTGTTTCAAATGGACACATACCCAGAGAGACGTTTAGTATGTGAAGACATGGAACATTTGCATGGGTTGACAAAGCAGATTTAAAAACTGCAAGTGGACAAGGGACACTTGTACTCTTTCTTGAATGTATCACTGCTCTGGCTTACAGCAAACATGCCGTCTAAGATTTGTGAAATTTTGAGGTGAAATTATTTATATACACAAGTCATGTACAACAAGGTCAATACTATTTCATTTTCTTTTAATGGGTCTTCTCAATTCATACAAGTTAATCCAATTTCACATGTTGATACAATATAAAATAAAAAATCTCTACATAGAAGTACTAACATAGGGATTTATATATTTACTACAAATTTTCTGCAATTGATCATTAAAGTTCAATAGTCAAAAAGGAGTACGGGGCTTACAAAATAAATATGCAAATATAACCTCTTGATATTCTCTCTAAAAAGATCCCTTTTAGCAGACTAGACAAACAAAGAATAGAAGATGACAAGCTCTTACTAATGTGTTTATATAAAGAAGTAACATGGTTGGACTGATCTTTTATTGCTCTGCTTTTCAGCGAATAAAATATCAGCACAGGTTCTGAAGGAAGAATTGTGATTTTTCTCCAGTTGGCCTAGACCCCTGCTTCACCCCTACAATCATTTTTACACTATGTATGTTTGTGAGGGAGGACTGGACCACCTGACACTCCAGAGATTGCTGGACTACAACCCTCATCAGCCCATCACAGCTAGGAGGCCACACAGTCCTTAACCCAAGTAAGAATCACTTTAGCTTGGCTAATACTGTTTCCAAAACCTACAGCAAATGTCACAGGCCTGCTGTGCGGAGTTATGCAATTCTAAAGGGTAAGTGATGGCACAACCATTGTGCTGAAACACCCATGGCTCAAAGAACAACTTTCCCTCAAAATATCAGTCCTATTTGTCATTATTTCTTCCCCACTCCTCATGACAACTTTCACATGCTGTGGAAGAACCAATCATAGAGGTCAGGTCAGAGTGGAGAAGATACCTGTGATGCCTTAATAGACTCTCTAATACTCAGTAAGTGTGAGAGCATAAAAGGAAAAGTGGTTTGAATACCAAGGCTGGTCCCTCATATCTGTTCAGAAGATCTTCCAACTCTCTGGTGCAGACATGAGGTGAGTTTTGGAGGCTGCAGAGGAAACTGTTGGATGGGTACCACTGGATGTAGCTCAAACAAAAGAACGGAACTACAGGGAAAGCAACATAGCCTAGCTCCTTAATGTGGCAAGAAGGCAGAAATAAGTTATTTCAAACAGTATGCTTGAGTATGACTCTTAAAAGTTTCTCTGTAGTAACACTGACTAAGCTAAACACACTGTATTTTAGAAGATGTGTTTGCTGTTGAATAAAAAAATAATACAAATCAGATCTCATCCAGCTTTTACAAGCAATACTTCTTTTTGAGTAGTGCCAATATCTTTGTGGGTGTGGACAATAAAATCATAAATTAGGGTTATTCTCAACATTAGGATTAGCAAGTTCAAGTCTTGTGAGGAATCACTGGAATGTCAAGACTGGGATAGATTTTGGTTATGGCACTTTTTTTTCCTGAATTTAAAAATAAAAAGGCACAATATCAATGCATCTGTAGCAAAAACAAAACCAGCCTTCATTTGATGGAAAACAGCCTGCTTTAAAAGACATTTCTTTCACATTCTAGCAGTTACAATGAAATAGTGTTTCATACACGCATTCTATACAACTTTAGAAATCTAAGTTGGAGGTCTAAGTCACTCTAGTTTTCAAAAGGCTGCTAGCCATCATTAGAATATCAGTTGTAGTTGTAACTAGAATTCTACAATGAATAATATAGCCTTTGGTTTAAACATTAATACATAACCAATAACAAGAATATTCACTGGAAACCTTCAGGCTGTTGCTGAAGCTAGATTTTTTATCACGCTAAGGCAAATTTTAATGGAGAAACTACTGGAAGGTAGAATGGATGGCTGGATGGGAAGAAAAAAAATAATTGTGAACAGCAAGATATGCTGTCTCTGATTGAGAAAACCATATTAAATATTTGGTAGCTATCTGTTTTTGAAGGATTATGCCAGGGAAATGAATAAAAGTGATAAAATGCATATCTCAAGGCAAGTACACAATGCCCATAAATAGGGTGTTGGTGCCTAAAGAATTTAGGAAAATGTTGAGGCCTTTTTGGGGAATGAAGGACACTTTAGAAACCCAGTTCTATGTGCATAACCTTCCTGTGCAAGGACTGTATATGGAAATGAGGACATACTTGTAACAAAGGAAGTAGAAGGGAAGTAGAGGGACATGCCTACAGGGAATTTGTAATAGAGATAAATGCCTGATAAAAGACAGTGAATATTGGGGGCAGAACAAGAAGGAAAAGGGAGGAAGAAATAAAAAGCAGAAGGTGTTTGCAGAGTGCCAAGTACTTGGTGGGAAAGGGGAGGCTCGGCCGCAGAGGAAATTCTTGCATAAATTATGAACAAAATTCACTGAAATTTCTCTGAACTCTCCTTCAAATTGCTTGTCACAGTCAGTCTGACACATGACATGAATGGGATATAGCTCCATCACTCACAAACTTGGGAAGATACCCAGTGCCACATGAGATTTACAATGGCAAATGGAAACTTTTCCCTTTCTCTCCTCTTTCAGAATCTTATATCCCCCGCCCCACAAACACAACCTGCTCTAGATGCTTTCCTAACTGTCTAATAACAGATTTGACTGTTTGTTTTCTAAACATTCCCAAATAGTTTCATTATTTAGAGAGCAGTACCAGACATGCCATTATTGATTTAAAAGATGTTATTTTTCCACATTTTAATTTTTAAATATTTCACTAAGCATTTGGCTTAGAGCAGAGGTGGACCCATTAATCTTTCAGGTGTATAAGACTACAGCCATACAAATCTTTAGGACCTCTGTGAGACACAGCCCAAAATATCTGGAGAGCCAAAATTTCCTTACTATCTTAAAGATTGCAGCATTAATAATGTAGAGATATTGGCATACAGCATCTAATCAATACATGATTATGTGACAAGAGCAGAATTATCCTCTTCAACAAGGGGCTGCTGGAAAACTTGCCAAATTGATATGTTGTAACAAGGGAATGGAAACATGTATGAATTAAAACAGAACTTCATTTTCCTTCCACTGACCATGTCATCAGAAACCAGCTTCAAAGTGACACATGTAAGAAAATGAAAATGAGCGATCTATCTTTAGTACAGGATGGCTGAATTCTTCAATCGAGATACAACTCCAGAAGTACAGGTTTGGCAAGAATACAGGACAATTACAAGCAGCCAAAGTAAGTCTTGTTGTTCTTTTGCAGTCCATCAGTGGGGCCAGAATATACAGCATTAAACAGATCACTCAGGGCTGGGTTTTTTTCCTCTTGGGGTGATGTTGCTATTCCATATTCACCAAGGTTTGAAGAGATGGCTGGATTGAGTCTGCCTGGGTGTGCAACACAGTAAGATCATGCAAAGCTGCAGCAGCGAGGCCTTCTTGGGATCCTGCTGTGCTTGACACCTTGTAGGTGGTGACAGCAGGAGGCCCATTTGCATGCAGCTCAGTCAGGCTTTCTTGGACAACATCCAGATTCTGATAGTGTCCATTTTCAGGGAATGACAGCAGCTTCTCCGATATCTTGGGGTGAGTCACATCATACTCTTCATCAGGAAGCTCAGTCTTGGGATCCTCGTCGTTTTTTGAGGCTCCTTCGACAACTACAAGAAAAGACTTCCATGGTGTGTTTTTGTCGTGAATCTGGAAAACACACACAGAACACATGTGAAATCCATCAATAGCTGCTTATATCTTCATTAGTGCTTTAAACTGCTGTTAGAACAAGCAATTCATCCAAAATTTTGATACCCAGAGCTGAGCTGTGGAGTTTCACTCTGCCTTCTTAGCTATTCTCAATACATTTCCCAACTACATTAGCAAGGGAACTCTGGTTCTAGCTGAAAATAATGCAATCTTTTTTATCCTGCTATAAAGAGGGAGTATCATATTTTATCTCCCAACACTCTAAACATAGGCGGCACAACTACTGTCCATCATGAATAAAAAAATAAAGCTTTGGAGTCTTTCTAGCTGCGGAAATCCAGATGATCTACATGTCAAAGTTTGCAAATCACTGAAACAACTAATATTCATGTTTATCTTTTAAAAAATCTTGCTATTCACATTTTAATTTTTTTACAATCTCAAAAAATGGCACATTTTCCCTAAAATATAACATTTTCAAGTAACACGTAAACAATACTCATAGCATCAAGAATTTATTAATGCTAGCAGTTATGTTATTTTTCCAAATGCTGCCATTGTCATCCCACCCCCAAATGCACTACAAATAATATTGGTTTTTTTGTACCACAATGAGCAGAATCTTGTATGGGAGTTGCATCTTGGTAGGCAGACTTACGTGTGTGGAAATTTGGATTGCAAAGATGTGCCACATTTGTATCCAGTGAATAGAGGAATGCTGCTATGTAAAGGGGCCAATGCGTAATAGGGTCAATGCACATCACATCAGTCCCAATGCATATTGGGCATTCTTGCTGATGTCCTGTCACACATCTTTGCATTTCACTAACAGGGTTTGTTAACAACGCTGCTACATACTTAGATGTACCCAGATTTATGTTGAGTGAAAAATCATACAGAATTCTGACCATTGTTTCCAAGTTCTGTTCATATTCCCATGCAGAGAATGCAATGGAAGAATGAAACTTGCATGGGAAAGACATTTAAAATTAATGTGAAAATTGTATTGGGATAGCTAACTGTTTTGTGGATTTTATAATCCCTTTTCCAAAAGAGGCCAGTGGACAAAAACCTGAGTCACCTTGTCATTAATGAAATCACTGTTTTGCTGGCTATCTCCAATTCCATACTCTCCAAATTCAATCACATGGAATGTCTAAAATGCAGAAAACTGGAAAAAAATGAGTGGAATTTCCTAAAGAACATTCTTGCTTTCTCTATATACATAAATGGACCAGCCATCAAAAGTCTTAATTCATGAGTTGCCCCGCAGATACTGAACATTTCATACAAAGTCCTGAATCCCCCTAGCTAATCCCAACTAGTGTAAATCCACCAAATACACATGAGGTACCTATGCTCTGATTTCCTATTCAATAATTTGTCTAGCTGGTCTGCTTTATATTGAGATTTTTCAACTTTTTTCCATAAATACACCATTTGCAAGTTTGCTGGGAGGTATAAGGAGCCGTCCCCTTACTGAGGTGTGTCGCCGAAGAGTAGACTTGTCTGTAAATGTCCGGCCACAGGCGTTGCACATAAATGGCTTCTCTCCCGTGTGAATCCGATGATGGCGTTGTAGGGCATTGAGTTGGGTGAACTGTTTGCCACACTGATCACAACAGTAAGGGCGTTCACCTGTAACACAAAACACTTTTGATGACATTCACATGGACTATTCCCAAACACTTGCTAGAGGATAATTCTGGCAAGAAGCAAATGTAGGATGAAACTCCTCAAGGATGTTTTCAAGATCTTTAGCTTTCCTAAAGATCAGTCAGAGTACAGTAATGTCAGATTATAATCACTGTATCTGATGACCTTGATTTCACTGAAGTTTACTAACTGTAACTGGACCAATTTTTAAAATTAAAGTCACCAGTTATTCTTTTCCTTCCTTTTTGAACTAGTTCAAACCATTCTGGTAATATTACCAGAATCCCAAATTAAAAACCATGAGGAAAAGATAGCCAGAAGACCTGGAAGTAGCAGTTTCTGCTCACAACCAAAATTAAAAGTACATGATGCTGAAAGCTTGCTGAGCTGGCTAACACAGTCATAAAAACAAGGAAATGATAATAAAAAACACTAGTCTGATCATGTCAATTAAGTCCTCTGAGTAAACTTCAGGAAATGTTCTCTTACAGTTTCCACGAATGTTCGCCCCCCCCCCCCCCCCCAAGTCATGGCTCCTGCTTCCTACCTGTATGAACTTTAATGTGCTGATACAACGAATTTCTCTGTGCAAATGTTCGGAAGCAAACTTCACATTTAAACGGCTTGGATCCCGTGTGGATTCTGTTATGGTGTTTCAAATACTCCTTAGAGGCAAAGCTCTTCCCACAAGTTTCACACATGAAAGGCCGTTCCCCTATAAAACATTGGAATGGGAGAACAAAGATAAAAATCTTATTTTATTCACAGGTAGTAAGAAATATATACCCACAAAGATATGGATGTAGCAGATCAGCATTACCCACTTTGATCACATTTTCTATTTGAAACATTAATGATTATATCCTTTGAGTGACTGATCCCATCAGCAGCTACAGAGGGGAGCAGGACACAGCAATTATTACAAACAATCCAAGTTCACAGAATTCATGGACAGCTAATTCAGAATGTCACTGTGGTGCCCACCAATAGGAGTTTTACAAAGTTGATGTGCAGCACAGAATTGGAGAAACACCTGTGTGACAAGACTGTTGTTGATCTGTCTATACAAAATCCTCAAAAGCCAGCATAAAGTTACATCACAGGTAGGCAAAGTGCAAAGCACAGGGTGCATGACATTTCCCCAGCTCAACAGTAATTGGTCTAACACAAGTGACTAGTGGATTAGCACAACTTGCTTTGAAAGGCTATGGTAGAATTATCCATAACACAGAAGGTGGGATCTGTGGCTCTTTGGATAATGTTGGAATATAACTCATATAATTCTTCTGACTAGGACCAATGGGAGTTACATATGGAGGCCATCATGATTTCCTATCTTGATTTAAACAGAACTTTACTTTGCATCCAGAATATTTCCTAAATATATTCCTAACTCCTAATATAATTTGTGAAACTATAGGAAGCATAAAGCCATGTCACTGGACAGCCCACTAGATAAATGACTGGGCTCACAATCCCAATATTGTCAGTGAGAAATATTCTATACTAGCTGAAAGATACCTGAAACTACCTAGGTCCATACATGAAACCCCTTTTCTTGCTAGTCATATTTTCTTAATCAGCAATATATCAAAAATCCTCCCTTAATTTAAAGCTCCTTTTTAACCTCAGGAGTTTTAGCAGCTGTGCCTTAGCCCTTTCGCAACTCAGAAATCTTATCACCAATTGCTCAGAAAGCCTTCACCTTTTCTAGTCAAAGTATATTCAGTGTTGCCTAGATCTGTAACACTCCAAAATGGGCTCATGAGGTCCTGTTTTCCCCAGTCTTCCTCTTCCCTTATTTTTAACCCTCATATTTGATTTTTACCACACTTCTGACAATAGTATAGGGGCCACAAAGCTTTTTAAGACCTCACTACCTCTGAGGATGCTTGCCATAGAGGCAGGCGAAACGTCAGGAGAGAATGCCTCTAGACCATGGCCATATAGCCCGAAAAAACTACAACAACTCAGTGATTCCGGCCATGAAAGCCTTCGACAATACTTTTGAAGATACATGTGGCAAGTGCTGTGAAGCTTCACACTTGTTTTCAGTCTTATAGCAAGATAAGCTTCTAAATCACCTCTGCTTGCAGTGGGAACAGCAAACTACAAGGCTTTGTTCGTTTCTGTTTTTTGAACTTCTAATGAAAGCAATTTCACTGGTTTATTTTGCTCCCAACAAAGCAGAAAACAAAAAGTGCCCATGTCTGGAGATCGTGATACACAAACCACAACATGAAACTCTGTGTGTGATTTAACTGCTCCCACCTTGAGCAGGAACAATTAGTAGTATGCACTAGGATACTGCACATAACTGAGAAGCAGGGAGCCTATGATTCACTTGCCGATATCTACCATGCAAGTGTAAATCTGTTTATCAGTGCTTCAGTGGATTTGCTACCCAGCAATGACCTTGGGACAACTCTTAATAGTTACTGCTAAAATCCATACTTGGTACCCTCAGTGACTGAGTTTCAACAAATGGCACATACAACTAAAAAAAAAGGGAAGCGTTAAAAAGCAAAATGATTCTCATACCTGTGTGGCATCTTTTATGATATATAAGCATGTGATTCTGTGTGAATCTTGCTCCACAATCACTACAAACAAAAGGCCTTTCACCAGTGTGGATTCTGAAATTACAATGTAGTACAAATCAGTGAGTACAGAATCTTCTTCTTCTTCTTCTCTATGTAATATGTAATAAGTAGCACCTTGCACTAGCATCCTAGCTTATTCCTGGAATGGTCAATTCAGTGATGGGTTGTCCCCAACAACCCAAATACAACAGAATGAACTGCACAGAATCTGCTTATGTAAGAAATTCCCAATGCAACTGATGATGTGTTGGCATAAATCTTCTACATATATAGTGCTCCAGTTGGACGGAAATGTGACTTGATAAATTCTAGTCACAAGATTCAGGATGTATACTAAGGTGACAAGTTCTTCTTAACAAGAAACATATTGTCAACATCTAGATAATCTAACAAACAATTCTCTGCACCTCCAGTCTCCTATGCCAAAACAACAGCAATGAATTAAACCAGCCTACAAAAAACGATTGAATTAAGGTACCAATACAAACCAAAACACTAATTAAAAAGTAACTGGTCTAATTGGGGCCAGGATTAAGATGCCTTTGATTTCATATTATTATCCATTTTCTCCACTAAGAACAGTAACACGGCTTCAGGGAATTCCTCCAGGAGGAAAATTCCAACTTGATTAAAAAAAAAAAAGTGTGGGGGGAGGGGGGGACACTTAGTTTTTGAATCCAACTGCTAGTCCCAACTACAGCAGATTGACTGAATCAATAGAATTTGCCATATTTCACAGACTCTAACATACACTTTCCCCCCATTTTAGAGGCTCCAAAAATAGGGTACATCTTACAATCAATGAAACCTTAGATTCACGAGTGTTGGTTTGTTTGTTTAAATTTTAAAAATTGGTTTGCCGCTGAGTGAGGAAGAGGAGGAAGGCCCTCTGTCCCAAAAGGCCCCAGTTTTGGAGCTGCTTTTTATAAAAATTTGCTTACCTCCAATTTGGGGGGAGGGAGAGGAAGGGCCGCAGCCCCAATTTTTCAAAATTTGCAGCTTCAAAAAGGGGTGTGGACCTTACATTCAATGATGCGTTAGATTCTGTGAAATACAGTGCAGACGTATTGATAAACCAGCTTCCCACTGATTTACTGGATCTACTCTAGTCGAGATTAACCTTTGGATTTAGGCCATCAAATATTAAAATTCATCCAACATAGGTTCCTGGCTGCATGTCTCTTCTGCCAAGACCAAATACTGCTATCCCTGAAAGTAGATAGCTGTTCTCCAGTGTTTAATGAGCAGCATGCTGATGAATAATTTTCATTGTTTTCTTAAAACCCAATCAAGCTATCAGTGCCAGTGAGCACTGTCACATTCTGGGGCTATGAATCCATGAAACCTTCCCTAATTCTCGTTGGGAGGGTTTGTGTGTCAATTTGCACCATTTGGAGGGCAGCACTCACATGTCTGAAAGATCAAGATCCACCTATCAAAACAAAACTTCTTCAACACAGAAGACTAGATATCAGAGAAGAGTGCCTTATCCTTACCTAATTTCTGACATGTTAATTTACATATATAGAATTTTCTATTTAGGTATAGGAGAGCACTTATTCATATCCTGAAATGATACAGTTTATCTGTAAGTGTTACTAGTTTTTATATAAAAGGTGTCAGTGACACCAAATCAGGGAGACAGGCAATCTTCCATTACTTTAGAGCAGTGGTGTACAACCTGTGCCCTCCAGGTATTTTGGACTTCCGCTCCCCCAATTCCTGACAACTGGACAAGCTGGCTAGGCCTGCAGGTTGTGCACCACTGATTTAGAGAAAACCTGAATTCAGTACCAATCCCAAATATCCTCATTCTTCTACATTATACTATATTCTATCCATATCCAAATCAGAGAATAAAAGTCAGATTTTTACTAGACTGCTTGGAGGTCTTTAAAAAATTACATTTCCTGAACTCCAACATATTTAAGACTTGGGGTTCCAATAACTTCCACTTCTTTGGCAAAGATTAACATTTAATTAAGCTATTTTAAAGAATCTCAAGGGAATCTGAGGCTATGTTGTGGAACCCTTTCCCTAAGAAGTAAATAATACATACTATATTAAGAGTCCCCAACCCTAATTTGCTGGTTGCATCATTGACAAACTGCTTGGGGAAATTTTACCTTCTGCCCAGAGATTTTAGCTAATAAGGCCAGATAAGTCTGTTCATACCTCATGTGTGTCTTGAGTGCCGAAGGCTGAGAAAACTTAGCCTCACACTCTGTGCACCCATAAGGCTTGTCGCCTGTATGTGTCCTTTCATGAAGCCTCAAGGCCGTTTTGGAGCTCAAACCCTTTCCACATTGTAGGCAGTGATGACGCTCCCCACCACCCTCATGAACCTGCAGAATGTGCCTCTTGACGTCCTTCTTCCTCTTGAACTTCTTACCACAGAGCTCACATGGGAAGTGGCGCTCGCTGCTGTGGACGTGTCGTTGGTGGCTTTTGAGGTTGCACCGGTTGGCAAAAGTCTGGCCGCATGTTTCACAACAATAAATAATCTCAGCTGTGATTCCATGGCTGTGCTTTATGTGTTTTAGAAAGCTCTTCTCATACAGGAATTCTCTTTCACAGGTGCTGCATGTAAAATTGCCACCATGGTCCTTTTTGTACTCCTCCAGTTTATCCCCATTTTCTTCCAGTTCATGGGTGCCTTCACACTCTTTGAGTTCAGGCTTCACACTATTTGCTACTTGCTCTTTCTCCTCCACCACCTCCTCTTCACCACCTTCTTCATAAATGTGGTGCTCCATGGAGAGCCTGCTCTCTGCAGCAACAGCCTCAGCATACTTCTGCTGCTCTCTCAGGCGCCTTGTATACTTTTTCTTGGGTATTTCCACAAACACTTTCCTTCCAGCCAGCCTTCCGCTAGCCCTCCTGATTTTGGTGCAGGGCATCTTCAGGGCTTCTTTTTTCTTGTCCAACCTCTCCTTTAGTTTAGCAGTAGGGGCCTCAAGGCACTCTCCATCTCTGAGCCTTTCAAGTGGAGAATTTGAAAAATAGTTTACATTGTCATTCTGTGTGTCACCAATTGCCTTGGGCTCAAGTAGACTGCTTGACTGACCACTACTGTCCTCTTCAGCTTCCTGAGACTCTGAAAAATTTTGTAACTCCAACAACACTGATTCAAGCATTTGCTTCTTTAGCTGAAAGCAGGTTTCTGACAAATCCAAGCATTTTAACCTCTCAGCTATATCCAACATACGCTGCACCCGATCTTCTTCTACCTCAACCCTGGCAGTATAAACAAATTCAAGAAAAGATGCAAAGTCAGCTACTTGGACTTCATTCAATAATACAATTGTCCTTGATCCATCCATGCCTTTCTCATTGAGAAACACCTCTTTAAAAAACTTGCTTGTCGCTGCCAACACAGCTTTGTGAGCAACGAACTCTGCCCTGACACCATGATATTCCACACTCACAGTCACATCGCAAAGGAGTCCGAGGAGGCGTAGCTGGTGCATTTCATTCAGGAGGTTTAGTGGTGAGGATTTGGATTCCAAAAGGACAGCATTACTTTCCATCTTCTTCTTTTCTAAGAACTGTGAACAATATCACAATATATTAATGGTGTGCCAGGGAAATGATTTCTCCATTAGCCATTTCAACAATAAGCCCCACCCCACCTTCTAACATATTCAAAGAATGTGAGGTCATGCCATTTATTCCTTGTTATCTATATTTGTAGGACAGAATTCTCAGGGAGACTGATGAAACAGAAACAACCAAGATAAAAATCCAGCAATAAAAGGTGTGATGCAGCATTACCTTCCTCTTAAGATCAATCAATCAATCAATCAATCAATCAATCAATAAATATTACCCGTATATACTCAAGCATAAGCCAACCTGAATATAGGCTAAGGCCCCTAATTTTCCCACAAAAAACTGGGAAAACGTATTGACTTGAGTATAAGCTGAGGGTGGGAAATGCAGCAGCTACTGGTAAATTTCAAAATCAAAATAGATACCAATAAAATTACATTAATTGAGGCATCTTTAGGTTAAATGTTTTAGAATATTTACATAAAACTGTAATTTAAGGTAAGACTGTCCAACTCTGATTAAACCATTATTCTAACCATTGTAAATGTACTTACGTATCCTTCCAATAATAATAAAGAGTAAAATAATAAAAGTAATAAAAGTAATAATAGTGTAAAATTGTTGTTGTTGTTCATTCGTTCAGTCGTCTCCGACTCTTCGTGACCTCATGGACCAGCCCACGCCAGAGCTCCCTGTCGGCCGTTACCACCCCCAGCTCCCTCAAGGTCAGTCCAGTCACTTCAAGGATGCCATCCATCCATCTTGCCCTTGGTCGGCCCCTCTTCCTTTTGCCTTCCACTTTCCCCAGCATAATTGTCTTCTCTAGGCTTTCCTGTCTCCTCATGATGTGGCCAAAGTACTTCAACTTTGTCTCTAGTATCTTTCCCTCCAGTGAGCAGTCGGGCTTTATTTCCTGGAGGATGGACTGGTTGGATCTTCTCGCAGTCCAAGGCACTCTCAGTGTAAAATAATAAATGTAATAATAACAATACAGTAAAAAATAAATTTAATAATAACAACAGAGTAAAAAAATGTAATAATAACAGAGTAAAATAATAAATAACTCTGACTTGAGTATAAGCCGAGGGGGGCTTTTTCAGATGAAAAAAGGGCTGAAAAACTTGGCTTATACTCTAGGATTTAAAAGGTATCGAATAATGTAAAATGATACAGCAGTGTCAATGAGTTTTCTTAGGGAAGGTCTGATGCAATCCTATGAAAAGGGCCACCCACTATGGTGGACTTCTAAAGAAAGGGTTCCCAAGGCTCCAAAAATGTATGATGCAGCATTAAAATATGACTATGCAAGAATATTTGACTATGTAAGAAAAGGAAGGGAGTTGATTTCTCATTTGGCTTTGTGTATAGAATCACAGAGTTGGAAGAGACCACATGGGCCATCCAGCCAAACCCTGCCATGCAAGAAAAGTTCAATCAAAACACCCCCAACAGGTAGTAGTCATTCAGCCTCTGTTTAAAAGCCTTCAAGGGAGCCTCTATAACATTCCGAAGCAGAAAGTTCCACTGTTGAACAGCTCTTATGGTAAGGAAGTTTTCATAATGTTCAAGTGGAATCTCCAGGGAAGCAGAAACCAAGCCCGCTTCCTCTTCCTTATGACATTCTTTCAGATATTTAAAACATGTCACTCACATCTCCTCTCAAACTATTCTTCTGCAGGTCAAACACCCACATCTCTTTAAGCCGTTCCTCACAGAGCTATGGTGTCCAGATCATTCACTTTCCTCTGGACACCTTCCAGCTTGTCAATCTCTCTCTTGGATTGTGGTGCCCAGAAATGGACACAGTATTCCAGCTGAAGTCTCACCAAAAGCAGAATATATTACTAGTATTTTCCAAGAACATCCAGTTTCCATGTAATTTTTAGATGCTTGGACTGTCCAGACCCAATGGTTCCTTACAACCCTCTTCCCTTTCTGCCTATTGCTGACCCATCTTTCTTTCCTCAGGTTCTAGATAAGGGGTCTTTTTCTAACTTTTCTGGTCATACTCCTCAACTCTTAGAGAGCCCTATCTGTAATGGCTATATACAAATATCTATCTCCAACAGGCCTCTAAACACATTACAGGAATAGGAAAACAGGATGCTATTGCTGTCTGGCCTGCTTGCACCCTTCTCAGAACTATTGGGTTGGACCAGTGTTAGATGGGATGACATAGCCCAATCTCATCAGATCCAGCATTTTATCTTTGTTCCCATATCTACTGCTTCAATTACCTTTGAATTTCTTTTTCTTCTCATGCAGGTCCATATGGATCTCACTGCTCATGCCGGCAACCTTGTATGTGTATTTCCCCATTCCAATAAAATAGCTCTTTTTTTCAAGCTCCAGAGGCATTCGGTTTAAAAAGTAAGGATGGTGCTCAACAGTGACAATTCTGGAGTGGAAATAGGTGGTAGAATGAATGTCTCCTGCAATGTCCCAAAACTGCTCTAGAGGACCGGAGATGCAAATTGAGGAGGGGAAGCATGTGAGGGGTGCTGTCAGAGGACAGGAAGTTGCACTGGATTAGCAGATCCTTCTCCTCTTACACTTGATACTACCCTGTTTTTATTAACCAAGACAGTCTTTCCAAGGAGCTTGTCATCCGCATGATGCTATAATGTTCATCTAGACTTGCTCAAATAAGTAGTTATTCCAATTTTCCCACTTCCATTTTTTAAATCTCTCCATCCCCAGGCTATTACCACCTTTCCTGTTAGGATCATTGCTTTAAATAAATCTTGGTTCTTTGAACAATGCTTTTGTTCCCTATTATTGCCATTAACACAAATTCCATGTTTACCTGGATTGATATTTTGAATAATTTCTCCATTTTAAAAATTATCTTATCCCAAAAAGGTGTTGCATTTAGGCATTCCCACCACATGCGGGTGTTACAACCTTTCTAGACTTTACAATGCCAACATATTGGGTTTAGTCCTATTCCCATATTTACTAATTGGGCTGGTGTCCTGTACCATTTCCAGACAAATTTTCTTTCTAACTCTATATTTTTCCAATTCAATTTTCTTTATTTCCTCTGTAGTTTCCTTCTGCTATTTCGTTTGTAGTGTTCTTATGTCTTTTATCATTGTTTTACAGATTTTTTCCTGTTAATTGTTCTCTGTTCTTTTGTGAATAGACTTTCCAACTCGCTTTCTTTGTCCAAACATTCCCCATATTGTGTTGTCGAAGACTTTCATGGCCAGAATCACTTGGCTGCTGTGAATTTTTCAGGCTGGATGGCCATCTTCCAGGAGCATTCGCTCTTAACGTTTCACGTGCATCTGTGGCATGCACCCTCAGAGGTTGTCCCCTGAGGATGCCTGCCATAGATGCAGGTGAAAAGTCAGGAGAGAATGATACTGGAACATGGCCATACAGCCTGAAAAACTCATAGCATCTCATTCCCCATATTTCCCATTTAAGTTTATTGTATGGGCCTAATACTTTTATCCAATTTTTATTTCCCACTTTTTCTATTATTCTACTTATGGGAATCAGTTGCCAATTTATGACATACAGATCTTTAATACAATAACAGCTTCTATCTTTCACATCTTTCCACCAATTAGGTCAAACTCCTTCTCATCCAAGCTCATGCAACAGATCTATCTGTCTAGCTAGAATGAATGCCATTTGACACTACTTTAACCGCCATGACTCAATGCTATAGAAACCTGAGATGTGGAGCGCATTGAGACCAGCGCTCTTAAGAAGAGAAAGCCAAAGGCCTTTTAACATGGCAACTCCCATTAATTCCCTAGCATTGAGCCACGGCAGTTAAGTGGTGCCAAACAGCATTCATTCCACAGTGTAGATCAGGCCTGGGCAAACTTTGGCCCTTCCTCAAAGTGTTTTGGACTTCAACTCCCACATTTCCTAATAGCCGGAGGATCTGATCACCTCACTCTCTGGACCTGTGAAAATATTTTGGGACGCAGCACAGAGGGCATCTACCAAGCACTTTTATGCCTCAAAATGGAAATGGTTTCATACTTAACTTAATGGGAATGGAGTTATTTATTTATTATTTTGTATAAAAAGCACTGCATAAATTAGTATAAAACTGATAAAAATAGGAGCGAAGCAATAGTGGACATGCATACAGATGCAGAGTTGTCTGTTCTGCTCCACTGTCCTCTTCCTGAAGACTGCCAGGGTGAGGGCTTGCCTAATATCTCTGTATCTCTGGGGAGCGAGTTCCAGAGCCGAGGGGCCACCACAGAGAAGGCCCTCTCCCTCATCCTGACAAGTCGCGCCATTTTGGGCAGGAAGGTAATATCTGTACGCAGTAGATTCACCCTGAGCTCAGCCTTTGTGGAGAAGAGTGAGGTAGTGATGTGGGCCTAGCACCGTGATGGTGAACCTAAGACAGGCGTGTCAGCACTGACATGCATGGCTATTTCGGTGGTGGCTCCTCGGCTCTGGAACACCCTTCCCGTAGACATCAGACTAGCCCCTTCCCTGTTGATATTCCGCAGGAAGCTAAAGACCTGGCTGTTTAAGAAGGCATTTGAATAGAAGTGCAATGACTGGTAACTTGACCATGGAATGGAACAACGGAAATGGTATTGGATTGTGAACTTGACGATGAGACGACTCGGAATGGCTTTGTAATAATGTTGATGTTTTTGATGAGATGTTTTGCTAATGATGTACTGCGGATTATTTGTCACTATGTTTGTATTTTGCACCTGTTTTTCTATGTTGTACACCGCAATGAGTCGCCAGTAGGCTGAGAATTGCGATATATAAGCGTAGTAAATAAATAAATAAATAAATTTTTGATGACACATGCAGCCACATACAGAGAAGTACACCTTATAAGAGCCAATCTAATTCCATCCTTAAATTTGTAAAAGGCTCTACAAATTTAACATCTGCACGTTTGAACGTTGTACACTCCAAAACTCAGCATGGAATATATATTTTTCTTATTTAAACAATAAATATTGCAAAATTATGTTGTTGTTTTTTTCTCGAAGTTGACACCCCACCCAAGTTATGCTCTGGTTTTTGGCAAATTTTGATACACCAAGCTCAAAAGGTTGCCCATCACTGGCCTAGCATAACAGGGCATCATCTAAGCCCTTCCCTGGCCCTCCCATTGCTTTCCTTCTAGTTTTCAGGCTCACAGAAGAGGCCACCAGGGCCTTCCTGCTCAACCCCATCCTGCCATTTTGAAAGGTGAGGGGCAGGGTGGCCTTGGGAGCCACATCTCTGGCTCTGCACAGCCCCACAGCCTGGGAGAAATGCTCTTCCCTCAGTGGCTGCACAGAAGAGGGTGCATGGCCCGACCCCTCACACGCAAGGCCTTAGTGTACTCCACACCTCTCCCTCCCCGTCCCCATGGCAACGCGATTATGGCCCCGCCCCTCGCTGCCCCGGCAACAACAGCAGCAGCAGATCTTCCCTCTCTCGCCTTATCCTCCCCCCTCCCTTCTAAGGGAGCGGAGTGCCTCTTCCTCCACTCCCCCTCCCTCGCTAAAAAAAACCGTTGGGCCACGTCCCGCTCCCTCGCGCCCGCACGCACGCACTCACTCACCGCCAGGCAGCCCCACATCCGGCCGGGACCTCAGCATCAGGGCGGAAGGCCCGCGTGACTCCTCCACATCCGTCAACCGGCGCCCCTCCCTCCCTCTCTCCTATCCACGCCCAGTGACGTCCCAGGCGCCATTATGACGTAGCTGGCCGAGGGGCGGGACCTTCGCCTCATTACTTTCAGGGTCCTTTTTTTCCCCCTCAGAAAAATGACAGAAACTAAAAAAGGATCTTTGAAAAAGTGTGTCTTCGTGGCACATAAATAATAATAATCTTTAGTAAAGGATAAGGAACCGTACTGTTGTGTTATTTAGACCGCCTCTAAACTCCTTCAGCTGTTTGGGCCTCCAATTCCGAGGAATTCTGGGAGTTGGAGGCCCAAACTGTTGAAGGGTTTGAAGAGGCCTCACCCACAGTGGAGAAGGAATGGAGTCTGACAACATTTTAACTGCCATGACTCAATTTGGCCCACACAGCTGTATAAAAGCCACATTGAACTGTAATATATTTCAGTGTGGACTCAGGTAACCAGTTCAAAGCAGATATGAAGAGAATTAGGTACAGGGTAAAGGTTTTTTCCTTTACCTAATCCTAATCCTTTATCTAATAGTTAAAAGATTTTCCAGACCCTGGCTCAGTCATTAATCAGAATGGAGACTGCAATCATGAAATCAGAAGATGGCAAGGCTTGGAGGGGCAGCTGTTAAGGATCTATGCAAGATCTTAAAATGTAAAGGTGAATACTACAGTTAAGATCGTTGAAGTTGTCTCTCCAATTTTATGCATAGCTGTGAAAGCTGGACAGTGAAGAAAGCGGAAAATCAAATCATTTGTAATATGGTGCTGGAGAAGAGTTCTGAGCATACTGTAGACCAGGGGTCCACAAACTTTTTCAACAAAGGGCCAGGTCACAGTCCCTTAAACTGTTGGGAGGGCTGCATTATGATTTGAAAAAAACATGAATGAATTCCTATGCACACTGCACATATCTTATTTGTAGTGCAAAAAACACTTAAAACCAATACAATAATTAAAATGAAGAACAATTTTAACAAATATAGACTTATTAGTATTTCAGTGGGAAGTGTGGACCTACTTTTGGTTGATGAGATTGTTGTTGTTGTTGTTGTTGTTGTGTGCTTTCAAGTCACTTCAGACTTAGGTTGACCCAGAACGAGGGCCGGTTAAATGACCTTGGAGGGCCATATCCGGCCCCCGAGCCTTAGTTTGAGGACCCCTGCTGTAGACTGTTAAAAAGACAAATAAATGGGTCTACAGCAAATGAAGTCTGAACTCTCCTTAGAAGCCAAGATGACTAAACTGAGACTCTTGTACTTTTGGACATATCATGAAAAAGACAGGATTCTCTAGAAAAGACATTAACGCTAAGTAAACTGGAAAAGAGGAAAACTACATTGCAGATGGATAGACTCAATCAAAGAAGACTTAAGGAAGAGTCTGCAAGATCTGAACAAGGCTGTTATTGAGAGGTGGATTTAAGTCCCTTCTACACTGCCATATAATCCATATTATCAAATCAGATAATCCACATTATCTGCTTTGAACTGGACTACATGGGTCTACATTGCCATATAATCCTGTTCAAAGCAGATAATCAGGATTTTATATGTCAATGTAGAAGGGACCCCATATTAGCCCAAGTGGGCAAACTAACATGGGTTTTTAAGAATAATCAAATTGAAGTTTCTTTTTAAAGACTGGAAACCATTTATGAACATTTTTAGCAATAAGAAATCTAATGATGCAGTAATCTGTGACCATAAAGGTAAAGGTTTCCCCTTGACATTAAGTCCAGTCATGTCCGACTCTGGGGGGTGATGCTCATCTCCATTTCTAAGGCAAAGAGCTGGCGTTGTCCATAGACACCTCCAAGCTCATGTGGCCAGTATGACTGGAGCGCCGTTACCTTCCCGCCGAACCAGTATTTATTTATTTGCAGTATTTATATTCCACCCTTCTCACCCCACAGGGGACTCAGGGCGGATTACAATGTACACATACACGGCAAACATTCAATGCCATAGACACACAACACATATAGGCAGACAGTCAGAGGCTATTTAACATTCCAATTTTCTGGCCACCAGGGGAGCTGTCGCTTCACCGTCCATCTGCGACACTGATGATGTATTTTCCACATTCCCCGCATGCTTTTGCTGGAGATTTTTTATGGCCTCGTAGAATTGTTAAATTAGCCTCCCCACACATAGGTGGTACCTAAATTTCTGACTTGACAGATGCAACTGTCTTTCAGGTTGTAAAGATCCACAACAAGCTACACAAATTGGCCAGAAGCTCACTCCGACCCGACCTGGCTTCGAACTCATGACCTTAATGCATCTGACACCCAGCCAGCTGCGCCACAATCCCGGTACCTATTGATCTACTCACATTTGCATGTTTTCGAACTCCTAGGTTTGCTAAAGCTGGTGCTGATAGTGGAAGCTCATTCCGCTCCCCGGATTTGAACCTGAAACCTTTCGGTCAACAAGTTCAGCAGCTCAGCGGTTTAACCCACTGTGCCACCAGGGGCTCCTTATGAGGATTATCTGCCTCTATATTCTGGTTTATATGGCAGTGTAGAAGGGGCCTGAATGGAGATTTGTCTAGAGTTGTAGTCCATTACTAGAACTGCTGGCCTATTTAGTGGAAGGCCTGAAAAGGGGGGGGGGGGGGGGGGGGGGGAGTACTGGCACATAGCCATATAATCCAGAATATAAAGGCAGATAACCTACAATATCCACTGGCTCTATGAATACAATTAGTCCAGTAGTGGAAGGCCCGAAGAGCAGTGTCCCTTTCACACAGCCCAATATCCCAGAATATCAAGGCAGGAAATCCCACATTATCTGAGGGTAAACTCAGATATTCAAGCTCAAAACAGATATTGTGGGATTTTCTGCCTTGATATTCTGGGATATAGGGCTGTGTGGAAAGGGGGGGGGGGGAGAACTGGCACACAGCCATCTAAGCCAGAATATCAAGGGAGATAACCCACAATATCTGCTTTGAATTTGAAAATCTGAGTCCACACTGCTATATAATCCAGTTCAATCTGGATTTTATACAGCTGTGTGGAAGGGCCTGCAGATAACCCAGTTTAAATAAGATATTGTGGATTATCTGCCTTGATATTCTGGATTAGATGGCTGTGTGGTTATAACACTGCCATATAACCCAGCTCAATGTGGATTTTATACAGCTGTGTGTAAGGGGGCTGAGCTCTGATCACAAAAACATTTTCCATGAGCCCAGTTTACACTTCCAGTATCAGTATTCCTGTAAAGCTAAACCTCTATGCTGATTTACTGTATGCATGTGCTCTTCTAAGTTGCTAGTTTTATCAAATTTTGTGGATTATCTGCTTAGAACTAAATTATATAGCAATATAGACTCATATAATCAGTTCAGAGCACATAATCTAGATTCAGAAACTGGACTATATGGCAGTGTAGATCCAGCTTACAATATTACGATCTTGTCTGATGCAGAAGAAGGCTCATGGGGATGACACCATGACATATCAGAGACCAGCCTTAGTGAGATAGAGCAACAATAAAATGTGGCACCTGAGGATCTTCGGACGCTTTTGGAAAACAACTCCCACCACCCCTCTCATCACGAGCAGCTATGTTGGCTATTGCTAATAATAGATAATACCCAATAATAGCTGAATGGGCACAAACCTCCATCCCTTTTCTAAAGTTAGAATTCAACCAGTAGTAATTTTTGAATGAATTTTTGTTGCAGCAAAGTGACCATTGCATTGCAAGTGAAAGATATATTCCCTGGACTCACAGCCCACTTCTTTGGACACAGTGAGTAATGTTTGGGAGATTTGGAGGTATACACAATGCTCATCGTTGCAGTTAGGATGTAGATAGTGAAATAGCAGTGATTATTATTGTTATTTGAAATGCAGAATTATTAGGAGTGATGTTTCAACAAATGTCTTGTAATGTACAGACCTTGGAAAAGTATGTTTTGAGGACTATAACTTTCAGTCCCCTAATCGGCACAGGGGATTCTGCAAGTCATAGTAAGAAAAAGATAATACCATATTTCTAAGCTATGTTCTCTAAATAGTGTAATAGGAATATGTTATCCA